CTGATAAAATTCGGAGTGATTTACATAGTAAAAAACCAGTTTTTCTTGATTTCTTTGCCTTGTTTATAACTTATCATCCTCTCAGGATAGTAGTTCACAGAAAGATCTTTCTTGGACGCATCTGATGAATCACTTTTCATGCCAAGATTTTGCGAATTGGAGAATAATCTAACGAAAGAAGATAAAATGAATGCCAATTTCGAAGGTGTATTATTCTATAGGAGATGTTATTTTAAATCCATATAATATATCAAAGTAAAATAATTTTAAAACTTTTTGATTTTAATTTTTATTTTTTTTGTATTCTTTTGACATTAACTTAAAAATTATTAGTGTGAAAAAATTCTAACCAAATTATATTATCATCTCAAACCGATCTGTTACTGCACCAAGAATAATGAAGAATCTCTCATCCAACTAAATGCATAGTCAAATTATTTTATGAATTATAGAATTACCCTTGCAATCTATAATAGATTTGCTTCAATTATTTATTTACAAATACATGTATATCTTAAAGCTAGTCGTCGCATAATATATCAAGCAAACTAACAAAAAGTACTACGTACATGTAATAAATGAATACATATCAATAAATAAATGTGGGGATGAAATTAAATATTGATAAAATAGAGTTATGTGGATCTTATGACTGTATGGCCTTTTACCAGTATGTTGTAATGCTAGCGATGAAGAGTGGAGATATCATTAAAGAAATTGAGGTTGCGTAAAAGATATAATAAAAGTTAAAGAAATTTACGATCGAATTTAAAAAACATATTTTGTATGTAATCTATGCATATTATTATGAATTATATCGAACAATGCGTATATTCAAGGTATGTGGACTCACAAATATCAAAGATACAGTGTATAATGTATAATATTACTTGACAGAAAAAATAAATTTAGAAAGATATCGATATACATATGGTGAAAGGAAGAGAAGTTTAAAGTTTATTTAACGATAAGCGTCCATAAGTATTCTTAAAATATTATTGTCATCTGCATTCGGTGTAGGAAATTGGTTATTCAAAATATTGTTAGTTCCATGAATAATGCTTTGTGTCATGTTCAAATAACTAGCTGAGGGTTGTTGATTATGTGGTTGATTCTGTTGGTTATGTTGATTCATATTTTTTTTTTAATTTGCGTTATTATAATATTAAATTGTGCTACAAAAATTTTTTTGAAATCAATCAAAAATAAACATTAATTTATTCTTTTGGGAAATTGAACTTGGTTTTATAATCAGTTAGAACTTGTATGATAAACTATGGAATGCTGATTTCGGTACGCTATTTATAAATAAATATTGTAATTTTTTACATGTATATATTATATTTATGGTTATTCTATGGTTATATACCATTGAAATTTTTAACAGTTGTATGTACCAAATTTATATTTAAATTTTTCGGACTATGCTTTCCAGAAATCTGTATTAGTATTTTCGTTTATTTTGCATGCATTTGCAGTTAAAGCACCTCCCCCAACAACCACTCTCATAAATTTGTATTGTAAACGTAGTTAAATCACCCCCAATTAAACCACTCTCCTAGCGCGTAAATGTGAGATTGCGAAGTGATAACAATCATACATTTGATTGTTGTTGTTCTCATAAAACATTGGAATATTGTGGTTTCTTTTTATTTGAATTGAATATTTGGCGTTTCGTCAAACGAGATGTTTGACGTTCTCTGTGAAGATCTTAGACAAATTTGAATTAGAGTTGGCTGTAAGGAATCGAATTCGTTGTTAAAGTTTCAAACAGGGAAATTTAATAATTCGATAAATTCAAAAGCATAAACTAATTACCCTTGGAGAGACTAAATTTCCGTATGAATGATGAACATAACGCAGTTTCGTAAATGAATAATGGTATTTATGTCTTAAAATTATGGATTCTCATTTTAGAGTATCGACCGATAAATTTTTAAAAGTATTAGATTATTTGATTATGCATTCTATAAGTGAGAATAGATTTGTATTAGATTATGCATTCTATAAGAGAGAATAGATTCGTCTATGGGGCTCTATAATTCAACAAGTCCGAAGAATCAATTAAAAAAATCTAATACAGATTCAAAATAAGATACATAGTGGACAAATAGATTAGTTGATTAACAAAAAAAGGAATTTATTAACGGTTTTTGTGGATCTCACTAAGTTTTTTGGCCAGTTACTAGCATTAAATTTAGAATCTAAAAATTAGAAATTAGCATTAGAAAATTTTAACTAAGAAAAAAAGCTTATCGTAATTTGCAACTCATGCAGCGATCCACCCCAAAATTCTCCGGGCGCAGCTTATCGACCAATAAAATCACAAGATATGAAATATTAATTAAATTTCGGTTAGGGTTAGGGTTAGAGTCAAGATTAGAATTATGTGTCAACAAAAACATTTTTTGTTAGAACACAAAGGCAGTATCATAGCAAAGGTTTTTACGTTACACATGATCTTGGAGTTTGATGGATAGATAAGTTGTGCCCGGAGGGTGGTCGCGTATTAGTTGTAAATTGCCACTTATATCACTAGTGGTTTGCCAAAAAATTTAATCAATAAAAAATGAGGGAATGGTCTACTACATAATGTAGCAAATTATAGTATAGTTACACTTCTCTACGTGTACTCTATAAATGCATACTTTCTCTGAATGCACGCTATGGTTCAGTCCCAAGCTTATAAGACCTCTAATTATTTACTCTATAAATGCATACCCTCACTAAATGCACTTTTCCAAAGGGGGAGTTGTGACCAGATTCCGGAATTCATTTTCAATCACCTAAGAGTTCTCCAAGGTGTTTAAACTGAGCGCTTCCGATGTGGACATCATGCTATTAAGCAAATGTTGAATCAGATAAGGTATTTAGCGAACATATTAGTTAGAGTTTCATATTGTATATCGATCGATTGCAAGAATCTACGAAATGATCGACATTGACAATGAACAATGGAACAATAGCAAGAATTGTTACGTATGGTATGATCGGCATTTTGACAATGAACAATGGCAAGAATTCTACCGTTACGGTATGATCGACATTTGACAATGAACAATGGAACAATGGCAAGAATTTTTGTACCCATTCAAAGATATATCGAGAATACGTATAAAAGTATCTAAGTCTTAAATGTTTTCTGTGTACGCGCGTGTGACTGAAAGGGGCAACTGTTGGCGTTAGATATTCTACTTATCGACAGCGGCATAACAATAAAGTGAGTTCCGGTGGAAAGTAATGGCAGTTGGTTTTTTAATAATAACTTTCAAAAATTTTACTTATGAAATGCCTCTAAGTAAAGCATTATATTATCAAAAATCAGTTTATTACATATCTTCCTTCCATACCAGCACACGCTTGAATGTGATCTGATATGCTATGAAATTCTTAAGTAGTATCACTAGTGATGTCACACTCTCTAATGTTTACTTTGCTAAATAAAATATATAATTTCTAATGCAAATTTTTAAGCAGAACATTTTTTCTTAATAGATGGAGACTCATTAACATAGTAAAATTTTTGTAATCACAAGTTAAAGTGCTAAATCGTAATGTCACAATCCCTAAATTCCGTATATACATGCACAGTCAAATCTTTCTGTATTCACACCCATTTATAGTCACATCCCTCTAGTCACTCCTCTATAGTCACCAAATTTTGCTCTTCTGAGGGTGGTGACTATAGAGGTTTGACTGTATTACAACTCTAAAACACTACATTTTGAATCAAAGATGAATAAATTTTTTCGTGCCAACATTTTTAAAAGGAGGTTAATTATCAAAAATTTTCCGCCATTACTTTCCGCCGGCGCTGTATGTTTAATTAACTTGTGATTCAAATATTGATTTGTATACGAGCGAAACTCATTTGTTTCTCAAAGAACGCCGAATATATAAATAGTCTATTCCTGCATTTTTGAGTCTTATGTGTCGTGTCATTCTTATTTATATTTCTAATAGACATCCGCCTTTTCAAGCTACAGTGCAGAACACTTAAAGAGCCAATAAAATTAGTCATCTTTAAAGCAAAGAATCTTTATACAAAGATTATACAAAAAAAAGGAGGCCGCTATTTTGTAGTAAATAGGTCTAGCTACAAAATATCGGCCCCCTTTTTTTTTGTATAATCTTTGTATAAAGATCCTTTGCTTTAAAGATGACTAAATGTATTGGCGTTTTTATGTGTCCTGCACTGTATTATTAATTACAGCATATATACGTAACGAAGAGTTTCTTTGGTATAGTGATACGAATCGTTTGATCTATAATTGGTCTAATCCGGATCAGATCGATTAATTACGATTATTCGATTGACAGAAATATTGGCCGATTAGTTGATAATATAACCGATTATCGGTAATTAGAGTTTGGAACCAGTTTAAAACCAGTTCTAATCTTAAATCAGATAAATAAGATAATTATGTTACGTACAGACAAACTCCCCTAAATGCACCCCCCTTGGGACCATAGTAAAGCGTGCATTTAGATGGGGTACATTTATAGGGGGCAAAATATATAGAGCACGTATAAGCTGGGACCAGCCATGCTGTGCATTTAGAGAGGGTATGCACTTGGAAAGAGTGCATTTAGGGGTTTTGTCTATATCAGAATTTTCCCGATCATCGGGTAAATCAGATAATAGATAATCGATTATAATTATACCAATTATCCGATTATAATTAGATATTCAATTATAATCGATTGAACAATATGATTGACTAATCAATTGATAACACATGACCGATTCGGATCACTACTTTGGTATATAAATTTAAAATTAATATACTATTGGTTAAAGCCAAAGTAAATTTACTCCAATTAGGGATAGCGATAGAGGGTGGGACCGGATTTATTTAATTATAACCGTTAGTATCAGTTTTAATATATTCGGTTTCTTTGATTTAACCGGGTTTATTATACTCGATGAAACATGACTTAGAATTAATAAATTAACTTTTTGAACAATCCAATTCCATCGCTATCACAATTTATTAATGAAAAACATGTAACGATAAATTGTATAAAAAATACATGAAAGTTCACGTCATCGATCTTTACTATATCGAGTTGTGATTTGTGTTTGATCTTTTTCGGCTAACGCTAATTTGAAAATAAACTGTTTTAATTATCATGGTAAATAAATAAATTTTATATTTAAATATATTTATTCGCATTTAAATGTTCTCAAGAATTATGTGCTGTTATACCATGCTTTTCTTGTAAATGACCTTTTCGGCTATAAGATTTTTTATTGGTACCTGCGAGGTTTTGTTCACATTATATACAGTAGGCATATCATTAATATCAGGATCTTTGCAAAAAAATAGACGGTATGACTTTTGTTAGTCCCATCACCAATGATACTATTTCCTGGATTATTTGTGATTATTAAATGAAGAGGTGGTAGTCGAGAATTCAGTCTCAGAATTTGGTTTATTAAGCTCAAGTTCTAAAGATGGAGCAGGAGAAGATGAATGAGAAAGTGCCATTGCACATTGTATTTTATTATCAAGTATAAAACAAGCAACTTTATTTGTTGTATAATCGAAATTGATCTTATATCAGTAGATTGTAGTACAAATAATCTCCCCGGTTTTATTAAAACCGGTCTTCGTATGATTAAGTTTCATATTCGAATTTCAATTCGAATCGAATGAACTCGTATTTAAATCCGAATAACAAATTCGGTTCCAAACTCTAGATGGTGATCTATTGGGCAAATTACATGTGTACTTAAAAATGAACCCTTTTTTTATTACTTTGTTTATTACGTCAATAATAACGATAAAGATTTACATCATTAACGGTAATGCTATTTAAAACTTGTTAATTCAAGTTTATTGTAATATCAATGATGCTATTTTTTTATATTAGGAATGAAAATTTACTTTGTCAAATTCTAAAATCACAAGTATATATATTAGTCAATCTTCAGCAAAGCACGCTAATTTTATATATTTTAGTTTGTTTGGTAAATACAAATATCGTTAAATCACCACTTCGCCTCACTGTAAGTGTTTATAATGAATGATTCTCAAATGCAATGATTATTTAAAATTTAAACAGAAAAATATGGATTTTTTGAAGGTTTAAAATCAAATTTCATAATTTGTTTCTTATTTTAATATAGAA